TGAGATTTTTAATCAAGAGAAATCAGAGATCTTTGTGTGTTTAAAGATGAATTCTGTCTTATCTATCATCTATATCTTCATTCCCCATCATTAATCATGCTTAACAACACATCTTGCAAAGGATTGATTGTGTTAAGTATGATTAGTGAGTACTCACCTTAATGAGGTTCCAGATGTGTAGGTTAGGGTGCTAAAGTGTTAGATTAGGAGTGCTTAGAGCTACATATATGCTTTCATCTCTCTAAATAGCTGTTCTCTAAGCTAGATCCCTGCATATCACTTGTGATCTAGAATCTGGGTTTTTCATGCACCACAAGTGTTTGATGAAATTCCTGAAAGAGCTATATTAGAGGTTTATGCATTTACCACATGATGATGTTTTGTTATTTGCAAAAATGATCACTTATAACTGATTCTTAATGCTGTCTTGTTGTTTGATCTCCAATGATGATTGGGTATGTGAAATAACTTTATTTGTGTCTTGATGCTTGGGAAAGATTAAGGCTTGATTAGAGTCCTAAATCATTTGAATCATGTTTCATCATTGTCATTAGCATTTCTAGTTTAGCACCAAAGCACCATAACCAGCTATCATGTCTAGAATCTCATGCTTCCATCATTTCATATCCATATCATTTGTCATTTGCTACTTTTTTTGATCATTTGCTTAGTCAATAATCTTGTTTAACCCTTTAGTAGTCATTAGTTTAATCAAAACCTCACTTGTTTACTTGAATTATGAAACAGTTCATATAGTCCAGTGTCTAGCCCTCAAGACCTGAAAAATCTTGTCTATCACGCCCTTGGCCGAGTGCTGCACGATGGTGTGGCCTAACTGGTCAGTGACCACATATATTGTCGGAACGTGAAACCTCTTTGTGATCCTGGGTGGTGATCAAAGTGTGTGAGGTGGTTCACGGGGCAGAGGTGTCGAACTGGTGCATGTTCAGGGTGGATGGCACGTTTAGGGGGCTTGCATGGTGTTGTTTAAGTCTGTAGATGCACTTAGAGTAGTGATCTTAGACTTTTTGGTGAATAGCTTCCTCTGTGAATTGATTGTTTGGTGATTGGGTGTCAACATTGCGATTGCTTGGTTGGTTGTCCATTGCTTTCCTTGTGATGTGTACTTCGGCTATGTGTGTTAATCGAGATTGTGGTGGATTATGGGTTAGAGTCTTGACTCACTGAGTATTTTGAATACTCACGACTCTTTATATCTCGCAGGTAGCCGTAGAAACCAGGAACATAGAGGGAAGGCAACAGACACTAGGCGAGCTAGAGTAGATTGCAGTGTTCTTATAAGATCTATATATGTATATACGTTAAGCGTGGTTTTGTGATAAGATGCATCAAATATTATGTATTGGAACATGGTTTTGTAAGGATATTTTCAATATGTAATAAAGAAGTATTTTCTGACAAAAACCTCATCTTAATGATACTAGACCTTGTCCGGGTCAAAACAAATCGGTTTCGCAGTACGGGTTGAAAAGCTTTAGGCTGTAAGCTCGAGGAAAGGTCTCGGACATGGACTAGCTCGAGTAGAATGGGATGCTCGGGCCTGTCTGTGGCCGTCTCCGCATTGTAACGCTTCTGGCTCGATCTAAGTCATGAATAGACTCGGGTCGGGGGTGTTACATGCATGGTGTGGGTAAGGTAACTCGGAGCAGGGTAAAGACTTCCAAGCTCAAAATTATGCGGAGTTCATAGGCTGTGCGACTGATATGTCTATATTTTACATCATTTAGATTGCATTATAGAGTCCTCATCATGTGTTTTCTCATGAAAATTGAGTCTTTAGGCGTTAAAATAGGACTTAGGGCTTGCATTAGGTCCCAAAGAGTTTTGCATGTTTTGAAGTCTTTATCAGGAGCTTTGGAGACCAATTGGAGCCTAAGAAGAGGAACAGAAAAGAAAAGGGTGAAGAAAAGGGTCAAAAATGGTGAAAACCGCTTGGAGGAATTTCTCGGCCAAATCTCGTACCGGCTGGTCAGAAACCTCGGCCAAAATGTTTACCGGACGCTCATTACCGGCCAAAAACCTTACCGATCGGCCAGAATCGAGTATCGAGTGCAAAAATACCACGGGACAAGTTTTTGACCGAGGCAAGGATTTTTACGACCAAAAAGCTTACCGCGGTACACAGCCCTCGGCCATTTTCCTTACCGCGGGAAGGTTTTTACGACCAAAAGTTGCCCTTGCCCGCGCAAATCAGAAATCAGCAATCCGGGGAACCTTCCGGTCCGAATCAATTGGCGGGGTCTTCACCAAAGTTGGAGATAATCAAGCAAAGATTCCAGAACAGTTGGAATAATCCAATGCGGACGAGTGGAGAGAAAGATATGGCTTCCGGAGCGTTCACCAGCCTTGCGCGTACCCGAGAACTGAACGGTGAACTTCAAAGATCATGGCGGACGGAGCCTTTCCTGTCCGAACCAGCTTACCCGGTCTTCATCAAAGTTCTAGATCCATGGAAGATCTTCTCAGAGCATTTGGAATCGCTCAATTCGGAGCAAAGGTTTGGAAGATAGGGTCTCCGGAGTTCACATCGGTCTAAAAGTCTATTTTGCGGTAATTTCAATGCGGCGCAAAGATGTGAAATCCAGGAAGCCTTCTGCTCCCCAAGATCCGATGGTTTCTTCACCAAAGTTCGAGCCTATTGAGTCATCTTTACTGTGGAACTGGTCTCAGAGCAATTGGAGTCGTGTGCTGAAAGTTACTGCTTCCGGAAGGTGACATGGTCGATACAAGCCTAAAATGAGTTGCGATACGCTAAGTGTCTTCACAAGCCTCGGTATCTTTACCTTGGCATCACTCAAGTCGAGGCTCATATCTTGGAAGTATTCTGGACTAGACCTCGTCCCAAAGCCTTGGCATGATTAGATCGAGGCATGCATACGTAAAAACTGAAGCTGGAAACGACTAAGTGTTGAGAGTACACCTCGGTGTAATGACCTCGGCGTGCATGCCGGACTGTGTCCTCCCAAGCACCTCGACATCATGACCCCACGACATTTTATCCCGAGGTCCCTTGTCACGAACCCAGAATCAAGAACAGAATGGCTCAAGAACACACACGTGAGGATGGATCAAAGACTAGGGTTCATGCATGTTCTTGACGTGTTCTTCACGAGATCTTCATCCGGATCCTGACTCAGGTGCACACCTCGGCATGAAGACCTCGGCTTCACTTTCCGACACACCGTGGCACTCACCCATCAAACCAAGAGGGCGGTTCAGTACCCGGTTTGTTCCGGGCTGACCCGCGACACTTTCCCTTTGCTATAAATACATTTTGAGACTAAAAACCTAGTTATCTTATCTCTTATCTGTTTTTAGCTTTAAGAACTTGCCTCTTTTGTGAAACTTGATTAATCTAATCCGATATCTCGTTTTTGCATCAGAATCTTGTTCTTTCTTTATTTCTTTTATCATCCAAACATCAAACTCCTTATCATGACTAGCTACACGTCTTGCAAAGGACTTAGTGAGCTCGTTATGATTAGTGAGTAGTCCTTTAAGCGGCTTTAGATAGGTAGATTAGGGTGCTTTCAAGGTGGATTAATGGGTTTAGGTGTCTAGTCTTGCATGTTTCATTCCTTAACCGACGAGATCTCTAGGCTGGATCCAAGCACATCACTTGAGGTTCAGATCTGAGACATATCTCGCATCAAAAGTGTTTGTTGATATGTCTGAACCACTCGGTTAAGGGTTTAAGAGTCTTTCATCGCGAGAGCGATAGTTTGTTCTCTTAAATGACATTTTTGAACCAATTCTTATTGCTGACTGATTTATGATTCTCAAAAGGGATTTTGGTATGAAAAAGGATCAGTTTAGATGTTTAATACTTTCATGAGAAGATTAACATGCCTTGAGTTCAAAGTTAAATGAAATCGCTTGATAACATGATTCATTAACCCATTAGTCTAACTTGGAAGCACCCGAGTCAAATATCCTGTCTAAAGCTTCTGCCTTTATCATTCATTACCATCATCTGAATCACCTGTTTGTTATTTGCATCTTGATTAGTTTAAATCTCTGCTTTTATTTAACTTTATTGCTCATTTGCCTGTTAATCATCGTCACCAAACTTTTATCGTCTTGACTTGACTTAAGTGAACAAATGACATAGGCTAGTGTCTCGTTTACAAGCTTGGTTTGACACCCCTTATACTACTCTGACAAGGGGATCGATAACCCTTCTAAGAGCTTGAAAACTCTTAGTTATCAATTGGCGCCGTTGCCAACTTGTAGGAGCATTAGTCTCTTGTTTGTTCTTGAGTTCAAGCTTTTCTTTCCTTTGTTTTACTAACTTCTTTCCAAGTTCTTGTTTTGTTTTCAGGTGCATGAATACCAGGTCTCGGAGCACAGGATCACTTTTCCCATACGACGATAACATCGACAGATTAGAAAGGCGAGCTCGCGAGAGAGAACGGCACTTCGACAGACTTGGAATGGCAGAACAACAGAGAATGGAGCAACAAGCTCAGGCAGCCGAGCACCAGGCTCAGGCTAATCAGGCGCAGGCAGGAAGAAATGAACAACAAGCCTATGTTAATCAGCAACAGGCCCAAAGAAACGAACGGCTAGCTCAGCAAAACCAACACCAAGCGAATAGAAATGAACAACAAGCCCATCATGTTCATCCGCCACCGCCCCAAGTTCAGAGACAACATCCTCCAATCTGTGTTGGAGAGAATGACCGAGCTAATGCGCACCAATACCGAGCTGGAATTCAAGCTCCACCAGTTCAAAACAACAACTTTGAAGTTAAAGCTTCCCTGCTCAATATGGTGCAAAACTCAAAGTTCCACGGTCTGGCTGGAGAAAACCCTCTCGAACATCTAGATCAATTTGATCGGGTTTGCGACTTAACCAAGATAAATGGCGTCTCCGAAGATAGCTTCAAGCTACGCTTGTTCCCTTTCAGCCTCGGTGATAAAGCACACCAGTGGGAAAAGAATATACCGAGGGGTTCTATACAAACCTGGGAGCAGTGTAAACTGGCGTTCTTATCAAAGTTCTTTTCACGCAGCACAATAACGAGAGCTTTAGTGAAGCTTGGGAACGGTTTAGAAGCTACACTAACCAATGCCCACACCACGGCTTCTCAGAGGCATCACTCTTGAGTACTTTATACCGAGGTGCACTCCCCAAGATCAGAAACCAACTCGATACAGCTTCAAATGGAAATTTTCTTGGGAAAGAGATCAATGCGGCAATGGAACTAGTCGAGAACCTAGCCATGTCTAATGACACGTATGGAGAGGACTTTGATAGAGCAAACCGTACAGAGGGATCTAGTGATGAACAGCGCATGAAAAAGGATATAAGAGAGCTTCAGAGTAAGCTTGACAAGGTTTTGATGGCGACTCAAAAGCCAATATACTTTGTAGGCGAGTTTGATGAGCAAGGGCCAAGTTTTGACAATGTTAATGAAGATGGTCTAACACAAGAGGAGCTGAATTACATAGGGAATCAGCAGAGGTATCAGCGGTTTAACAACTACAACAGTAACCCAAACCTCTCATACAGAAACCCGAATGTCGCTAACCCTCAAGACCAAGTGTACCCTGCTCAACAACAACAACAAAGCTATGCTCAAAAGGCTCCTTTTCAGAATACCTTCCAGCCCAAGCAACAGTTCAGTGGGAAACAGCACGGCTACACTCAGCAGAATCAAGCGGCTCAGAGTAACAACTTCAACAACCAACCGCAGCAACACAAGTTTCCACCAGGGTTCCATCCGCAACCGATGGGTAATCAACAACAGATTCAGGGAACGGGTCAGAATCAAATGGGGAACGACGTCTGTGGGATACTACAGCAACTGTTACAGGGCCAGCAAAGGGTTGAGAGCCAGCACGCGACAATGCAGCAAGATATCAGAGAGCTTAAGCAGAATCAAGCTTCTACATCATCAAGAGGCCCGGCTTTACCAGGTAAACCAGAGCCGAACCCTAAAGAGTATGTGAACGCCATCACATTGAGGAGTGGTAAGGAATTACAAACTCCAACGCCTAAGACAAAGCTCATTGAGGCCAATGAGCAATTGGAGGGGGAGGCAGCCTCAGACGATGCGTGTAAAGAAGCGGTCTTAGAGAAGGAACCGATCAAGGACAAAGGAAAAGAGGTGGAAAAGACAACCGAACTTGAAAAGCCCTATGTTCCACCACCACCTTATCAACCCAAGATACCGTTCCCAGGGCGTTTCAAAAAGAAAATCCTAGACAAGGCCAAGGCAGTCTTTGAGAAACACTTGGAGAACACGCAACTCACCTTACCCATTATAGATGCTTTCTTAGCTATACCCCAGCTTGGGAAGTTTCTAAAGGACGCGATCCTCAACAAGACAAAGGAGCTCCAGGGTATGGTGATACTGAGCCATGAGTGCAGTGCCATAATACAAAGAAGATCTATACCAAGGAAGCTATCCGATCCGGGCAGCTTCACTTTGTCGTGTGATTTAGGTCACCTGAAGTTCTCAAACTGTTTATGTGACCTTGGAGCTTCTGTGAGCTTAATGCCTTACACGGTGGCCAAGAGATTGGGATACAAAAGCTACAAGCCAGCCAAGATCTCTCTTGTATTAGCTGATAGATCGGTTAGATTACCGGTGAGGTTGCTTGAGGATCTACCTTTGAGGATCGGTGAGATAGAAATCCCCACGGACTTCATAGTTCTTGAGATGGACGAGGAACCATTAGACCCCATCATCTTGGGCCGACCGTTCTTAGCAACCGCAGGAGCCATAATAGATGTGAAAGGAGGAATGATTGAACTACACATCGGTTCCGAGACTATGAAGTTCAACGTGAAGGAAATGATGAAGAAACCGACCATTGGAGGTCAGGTTTTCTATGTGGAGGTAATGGAGGAGCTGGCTGATGAGCTCCTTGAAGAGTTGAACGCAGAGGATCCGTTACAAGTGGTCTTAACGCGGGAACAAAGCGAGCACGGGTACTTAAACGAAGAAAGCGAGGTGTACAAGCGTCTTTTGGACCAACCGAGGGAACTTGGAGCTGAGGCGAGGTTTTTGGAGATCCACACGAGCAGCCTCGACATCCTAGACAGCGAGGGATCCACGGAAACAGAAGAGACACCTCGGGATATCATGGCCGTGACAACTCATACCGAGGCTGATGGTAAACCGCCGAGAACGAAGCAAAGGCCGAGGAAGCTGTTCCAGGCCAATGCAGCTTTGATGCCGATTGGAATGAGGCAGACGCACCCCCTGTTGAGCTAAAGCCTCTACCAACAGGGCTCAGGTATGCGTTCTTAGGTCTGAACTCTACTTTTCCTGTGATCATAAACGATAGCTTGCTTGAACATGAAGAACGTGCATTGCTTAATGAAATAAGGAAATTCAGGAGAGCTATAGGGTATTCCTTGGCTGACATTAGAGGAATCTCTCCAGATATATGCACCCAAAGGATCCACCTGGAGGACCAAGCCATGTCCTCTATTGAGCACCAACGTCGCCTTAACCCGAACCTCAAAGAGGTGGTTAAGAAGGAGATACTAAAGCTCCTTGAGGCAGGGATCATATATCCAATCTCTGACTCTCGGTGGGTGTCTCCTGTACACGTTGTGCCCAAGAAAGGTGGGATCACGGTGGTGAAAAACGATAAGGATGAACTCATAGCCCAAAGAACTATAACCGGCCATCGCATGTGCATTGACTATAGGAAATTGAATTCTGCATCAAGAAAAGATCATTTTCCTTTACCATTCATTGATCAAATGCTTGAACGGTTAGCTAATCACCCTTGTTTTTTGTTTTCTCGATGGATACTCGGGGTTCTTTCAAATACCTATAGACCCCCGAGATCAAGAGAAAACGACATTCACCTGCCCTTATGGCACTTATGCTTATAGAAGAATGCCATTCGGTTTGTGTAATGCACCGGCCACTTTTCAAAGATGTATGATGCACATTTTCTCTGATCTAATTGAAGAGAAAGTTGAGGTGTTTATGGATGACTTCTCCGTATACGGCTCCTCTTTCTCCGAATGTCTTGCTAATCTTTCTCAGGTTCTCAAGCGATGTGAGGAGCATAGGCTTGTCTTAAACTGGGAAAAGTGTCATTTCATGGTCCAAGAAGGCATTGTCTTGGGACACAAGGTGTCAGAGAAAGGCATCAAGGTGGATAAGGCCAAGATCGAGGTGATGGTGAACTTACAAGCCCCGAATTCTGTGAAAGGAATAAGAAGCTTCCTTGGCCACACTGGGTTCTATAGACGGTTCATCAAGGATTCTCCAAGATAGCCAGGCCTTTGACCAGGTTATTGTGCAAAGAAGTGGATTTCAACTTTGATGAAGAATTTGAGGAAGCATTCAAGAGAATCAAGGAGGCTTTGATCAGTGCACCGATTGTACAAGCCCCTGATTGGTCTTTACCATTTGAATTGATGACCGATGCATCTGATTATGTTGTAGGAGCTGTCTTGGGACAGAAGAAAGATAAGAAGCTCCATGTGATCTACTATGCCAGCCGCACTTTGGACTCGGCTCAAGAAAAGTATGCCACCACCGAGAAAGAAATGCTTGCCATTGTGTTTGCATTTGACAAATTCAGGAGTTATCTAGTGGGATCAAAGGTCACGGTTTACACAGATCACGCGGCCTTGAGGTACCTGATGTCTAAGAAGGACGCTAAGCCGAGGCTTTTGAGATGGGTCTTATTACTCCAAGAATTTGACATGGAGATACTTGATAAGAAGTGCATTGAAAATGGAGCCGCAGATCACCTCTCAAGGCTGAGGACTGAAGAACAGGTCCCAATAGATGATGCTTTACCCGAGGAACATCTCATGTTAGTCCGGTCTTACTTAGAGATGGAGGAAGTCAATACGATCAAGGAAAGAAGCCTTCCATGGTTCGCGGATCTTGTGAACTACTTGTCTTGCGGATTAGAGCCACCAGATCTTGATACTTATCAGAGGAAGAAGTTCTTTAGAGATGTGATGAGGTATCATTGGGATGAGCCGTATCTTTACGTGCTTAACAAGGACCATCTCTATAGGTGATGCTTGGCCGAAGAAGAGATCCATCCAGTGCTACAAGAATGCCACGGCTCATCGTATGGTGGTCATTTAGGTGCGTTCAAGACAGTTGCCAAGGTTCTACAGAGCGGTTTCTGGTGGCCGACCATGTTCAAAGACGCCCAAGAAGTGGTCTCGAGGTGTGAAGCTTGTCAAAGGCACGGAAACATATCCAAAAGGAATGAAATGCCCCAAAACCCAATCTTTGAAGTGGAGGTCTTCGACTGCTGGGGAATTGACTTCATGGGTCCCTTTGTAAACTTATATGGGAATCAATATATCCTTGTGGCAGTGGATTATGTGAGTAAATGTGTTGAAGCTGTTGCATCTCCGACCAACGTTTCAAAAGTGGTGGTAAAACTCTTCAAGAGTATCATCTTCCCACGGTTTGGAGTACCAAGAGTAGTCATCAGTGATGGGGGGAGCCATTTCATCAACAAGACTCTTGAGAGTCTTTTGAAGAAGAACGGAGTAAAGCACAAGGTGGCCACCCCTTATCATCCGCAAACCAGCGGCCAAGTGGAGGTTTCCAACCGTCAGATAAAGGCCATTTTGGAAAGGACCGTGAACTCATCCAGGAAGGATTGGAGCAAGAAACTTGACGATGCTCTGTGGGCTTACAGAACCGCCTACAAGACCCCCATTGGGACTTCACCATTTAACTTGCTCTATGGGAAAAGCTGTCATCTACCGGTTGAGTTGGAATACAAGGCCTTGTGGGCAGTGAAACTTCTGAACTTTGACATCAAGACCGCACAAGAAAAGAGGGTTTTACAGCTTCATGAGCTTGAGGAGATCCGGTTAGATGCTTTCGAGAGCTCTAAGATCTACAAAGAAAGAACCAAGGCGCTCCATGACAAGAAGATACACAAGAGAGAGTTCAAAGAACGGGACCAAGTTCTGTTGTTTAACTCAAGACTCAAGCTGTTCCCTGGGAAGCTGAGGTCTAGGTGGTCCGGTCCGTTCACGATTCTTGAAGTAAGACCCTATGGAGCCGTGGTTTTGAAAGGAACAGATGGACAAGGCTTTATGGTAAACGGCCAGAGGGTAAAACATTACTTGGC